CTTTGTCATATTGGTCATGTGTAAAGGAGGATAAACTATTGATTTGTTGTCTTGTTTACTTTTTGGTTTGTTTGTTTAAAAAAAAAAATAATAATAATAATAATAAATTTTATATTTTATATTTATATATACTTATTAATAATTTATAATAGATTTCGGATTTTTATAAATTCTAAAAATATATATTTTAATATATGGAGTGATTAATAAAAGCTTGTTTATATTATACTTTTTCTAGTGATTTTCTGATCACACATAAAAAAGATATTTGCAAAAAGTTTTATTCTTTCTTACTAATAAAGTCTTTCTACTTTCATTAAAACAATTTGAAGCTTGTCTTAATGTATCTATATTACTCTCCCTTACTTGTTTATAAACTCCTTTGAATAAAAACTTGGGTCTCTAGTGATCTAAAAAGATCCAAGTATGCACTTCCTCTACTAAGGGCAAGAAGGTTTTAGGAAGTAAAAGGACTGACAAGTAGAGTGTTACCTTACAGAGCTGAAGTGATAGAAATAGAGATTTTGTCAATAAGAGAAGGCTTATTATTTATCTTCTCAAGCTTTTTTATCCCTCTTAAAGGGGTTACTATTTTTTACAGTTTTTCTTGAAAGATTTTGCCTATCTCAATTTGATCCTAAATTTCTGATAGCACAAGGTCATTAGGTTTTTAATTAATTGACACAAAACATGTTAGTAACTGAATGTAAATAAGCTTTTACTGGTCACCCCACATGTTCTGATAAATCATTGGTGATTGAAAGAGTTAATTGGTACCTTATATCTGCCTTACTTCTTCAATTGGATTAACCTATAGATTAAGTTCCATGTGGCCAATAAGATATGAGTAACAAGTCCCCAGATGGTAAAAAAGCTGCTATTTATTCAAGCTAAGATCTTTCTCTTCTATTATTTTAGTCTGACAAAGTTCAAGACCAAGGTTTCCTTTTTATTCCAGTCAGACAATAAGACTGAATGGTCTCTAGTCTATGCTAAGCTTCAACCCTTTAATTATAGTGAGAATACATTTCCTTAGAAGTTGTTAAAGAATATTACAATTGACAAGGATCCTACTGCTTTTCTGATATTCTTTTATCATTGTGAAGCATAAAGATCTTTAAGGAATAACTATTTTGGGCAATAGAAGATATATACCAGTAAAATTTCTTTAACTAGGTATGGTTACTGGAAAATATCATACTGAAACAACATGTCTCAGTTCCTACTAGGTTATATAAGAACCTGGGATCCATATAAGTTACCTGTTTACTATAGGTGGATAAAAAATTACTATTTAAAAAAAGTTGGAACCAAGTGTATCCTGAAAGTAAAGACTCCTATTAGGTAATAAGTCTCCTCATATAATACATAAAAAGAAAATTAAGATCAAGAATAGATAAGTATTTCAGACAGTCAGGAAAAGAAAAGATATTCCAATCAAGCATTTTTTATTGAAAAGAGGTCTTAAAAAGCAGGTCTTTGAAGAAAACTGGAAATATTTTTTTCAATTTTTATTTTTTCATTTTCTTGTGGTCTATTTAGATATTTTTAGATATTCCCTATATTTTTCTTCAACCCATTCTTTTGTAGTTTCCTATATTCCAGTGACTTGGATCAATATATGATAGTGACAACCTGCTGGTAGTGATGCAATGAACTAGGAGGATCTTTATACAAAGATACTGCAGAGCAAAATATTGTCCTCAAGGCCAAACTTATAGGCTATTATACTTATAATGAGTTAGTTAGTTTATGATAATAGTTTAGCTGTAGCATATATCATATTACTCAAATGAAAATGTACTTATGTTTTCAATTGATTAATAAATCAACAATCTAACCTAGCTATAGGCATACAAAAAAAAAAGAAGCTTGTTTATATTATTTATTAATATACTGTATAAAGAATTAGTTTAATTTCTATATAAAATATTATATTTATTAAAAATTAAAAAAAATTAAAATAGATAAATTCTCTTAAAAAAATCAAAAAAAAATATTATTGAAGTGAATATATAATAACAAGAGATGAATATAAGTCTTTAAATTTAAAATTTTTTTTTTTAATGTTAACTTATTCTTGTATCAGGATAAGCATATTTTATTAAAGTAAAAAAATATCTAGGAACAACTGGGATAAATAATTACCTATACTATCTAAGGATTTATAGATTAACAAATAGTACAAAAAGTAAACTATTTATGTCTCACAAAACTAGAATAAGATAATTAAATAATAATCTAGTGTAAGTATTTTATTTACTAAAATAAAACAAAAAATAATATTAAGTAAAAAGAATTTTTCATTAAATTATCTATATATTTACATCTGATACTTTTTATAAACATGACAAAATATAGCTCACTGAACAGCTTATTGCTATTTCAAATTCTATAAGGAGAAGGCTAATATATCAAAGATTTACATATGATATTTATTGTCTCTAATGTTGAGAATCTTTCATGCTAAACCTTAATTCCATTAGTATTAATCAAAAAAAATTTTATATTATAATGCTATTAAAAGAGTATTTTGGGGAGACCAGAGTAATTGTTTAATAAATCAAGAAGTTGTATTTACAATATATTAGTATTAAGTAACCAAAAACTCTCCCAAAGGACCCTGCACCTTATAATCTTTTTCTTCTAATAGTATGTACTAGAAAAGGTAAAGAACAGAGGAAGATTATTATTTATTGTCCAATAAATCCTAATCTAGATTTATTTATTCTTTTTGTATAACCAATGATGTCATAGATTTTATATCTTGCATCCACCTATGTGACTGACTTGTAACTTATAATAAATCTCAAGTTCTTATGGGTATTGAGAAAATATATTCAGATATATAAGGTAACCAATAAAGACTTATTTATATATTGGGTTGCTAATATGTTTTTATTATCTAATCATTGCACCAGAAACTTTGTGTTACTCAAAATTTAGGATCAAACTGGGGTAGGTAAATCTCTTAGAAAAAATTGTAAAAGAGTATTCTTAGAGTTTCAACTATGATAGGAGAGTAATAGGGTTATCTTTTAAAGAGTTTCTTATTACAAACTAGATTTTATAATGTTTCTAGACAGATGAAAAAGTGATAGAGAAATCAGATTACTTCCTTTTAGAACTTTCTTAACATTGATAAGAAGAATAAAAGTTATCTTTCTAGCCATTAAAAAATAAGTTTTTTGTAGCAAGATATAAAAAGAGATAATGGGAATTGTAGGTGATTCTTGAAAATCTTATTCTTAAATTAATTTAAAAAAAGTGATAAAACTTTATTAGCCTGGAAGTATAAAAGTTTTTGTGAATATCTTTTTTTGTATGTGATCAGAAGATTAATGAAAAGAGTTGTGTATATATTTTACCTTATATTTTTTGATCTTTTGATTTTAATAAAAACTTTATATGTTTTTATAATATAAAATAATAATATATTGAATTTTTTTTTAAATCTTTTTTATTTTTAATAAAAATAGTGTTTTTTGATTTTTATAGTTACTTATAATTAAATTTTTATTTAAAGAGAAATATAATCAAAAGAAAAAGGATAAAAGCAATTTTTGAAATAATATTTTAAATTTTTTTAAAAAAGTAATAAGACTTTATTAACAAGAAAATCATAAAATATTTTATAAATATTTTTTTATGTATAGTTAAAAGATTAACAAAAAGAATTTTTTTGAAGTTAATTAATATAAATATTTTAAATTTAAAATAAAAAAAAAGATAATCTAAAATATTTTAAATAAAAAAAGTTATCAAAAAATTTTTAACTAATATTTTATTATGTTTAAAAATACTAACTTATTTATTAATCATTAAAAATATTTTTAAAAAATATTTTTTTAACATAAATAAACCAATTTTGTTTTAATATACAAAAATAATTTGATTTTAAAAAATTAATTTTCACTTATTTTAAAAAAAATTTCAATATCTTAATTTAATATCAAATTACCATTTTTTATTCAAATTACAATTAAATTTATTTAAATAAAAATTTTTTTGCTTTATAAAAAAAATAGTTTATATATTTATTTAACAAATATATATATTAAAATATTATTAATGATCTTACTGTATATTTGACTAAATAAAAAAATTTTTAATTAAGCTACTTTAAAATAATTTAACACTCTATAATTTAATAAATATTATTCAAACTTGATCTTGAAATGTTACAATATTCTATAAAAATTATTTTCAAATAAAAAGTTTTCCTACTTGTGAAATAAATATGTAAAAAAAAAATATTTTTTAATATTTCGCAAAGATAGTTTATAAAGTCAATATTACCTTAATAATAAAAATTTTTTTTCTTATATGCCGTCATTGATTTTTGAAAGTGCAGATATCATATATGATTGTTAAATTTTAAGAATCGAGTTCGCATTTAATGTGATTAACAATTATAAACTAAAAATACACTATTAATGATACAAGGTTAAACAAAATCCAATGCCAGCGAACAATTATAGCTTCTTCCGTTGGTTCTATTAACGGCAGTTGCAATAATTTCCGACTCGCCAAAACGCAATGAAAAATCAATTGGTCGCCTGAGACCAAGTTCTGGATCGGGACAATCGATAGTAAAAGTACCAAGAAGATTCATTCCTTCGTCCGTCGTGTAATCTCCATTATGTTTTTTTGTATAATAAACATCGAATTTTATTCGAATATCGTTCTGGTGAGTCGGCGTGAAAGTGCACGTACAAGTATGATTAACATCAACTTTGGTCCCTCTTGTGGCCATCCTAAAAAAGGAATTAAGTATCCTCGCATTATATGAACATCTAATCCCATAGGTATATTTCAATACTCGGTTTTTAATGATTTGCACGTTGAGACCGTATTCAACTGCTCCTCGTAGAATCGATGTGATCGGCTGCGGAGGAACTGAAATATATCTGATGTTCTTACTGAACTCTTCTTTCACTCTTGATTGAAGATATTTTGATTCACTAAACCCTCCGACCAAAAACATTGCTGATAAAGAACCCGATGCATCAAGTTGGGCACGTATCAATCTTATTATTTTACCGATCACCGGATCAAACATTGCTTTGACTGTTTCGAAATCAAACTCCATAATCCACTCATCTTTTTCTAATTTCATTCTATTTGCACCTTCCACATATTGTTTCAAGGCTGGACAAACTTCTTCCAGGTCTAGTTCAATATTTTTGTAGTCATCCATGTTTCCTGTAAATGTTAATTTAATACATCGACAAAACTCTTGGACCATATTTTGTAGTTGGCCGTAATGGTTCTCCCTGAACTTGGAAATCGCTGCCTCACCGACTTTTCTTCCAACATATTTAACAAACTCTTGATCTACATATGAACCTCCACAATAATCTCCCGTACATTCGGTAAGTTCGCTAAGACGCTTTCCACCCACCAGTTTACGAACGGTCAAATCAACCGTGCCCCCGCCAACATCGCATATGAGAAATTTCCCTAATACAAAATAAAATTCAAGGATCCTTATTATTAAACTGCAAAAATATTTGCTTAATAGCCGGATACCTACTTCGAATAATATTTGCAACCTCGTCTTTGAAATACTTCATACAATAAATAGCCGCCGCTTCCGCTATAAATAATATACATTAACTCTTAAACATCGGAATCCTGATAAATTGCCTCTCAATTACTTACGCTCGGTGATGATTTTCAAGTTATTTGAATCCTTCTTGTCCGTCAATCCGGCTTTAAATGCGCACTCTCTCATTATTCCTTTTTTCTGATCATTATATTCCACAGGGACCGTCATCACTATTAGCACGTGTTTCATATAATTGAGACCCGGCCATCGAGAATTCAATGTATTTTTCACTAACTAATGATTACCAAAAGATATAAAATTAAGGAAAGAATTGGTACGCAAATCTGTATGAAATGTGTCGAAGAGCATCTTACTTTTCCTTTAAGAAAATTTTTATATTAAAGTTGGTATTCCATATTAATATTATAACTGAACCTACGCAAAATATACATGTAACATACCAAGCTCATGAAGATAATCGATGATTGCCTTATCGTAAGTTAAGCCATCAGGCAAAGGTGGCTTTTCTTCTTCTGGAATATCACCTAAATATAATTTAAACAATTCCACCGGCCTTTTACTGTTATCAACATTTGCGGTTGGGGGTTTTGCCAGGGCTGGATAACCCCATTCTTCAACGTGTTTTCCAGAACTATCGTACTGTAGCACCGTGTTAGTCTTATATTGATCAATTCTGCCAGACCTTTGAAAATACAGGAACCTTATGAGATAATAATTCTTATAAATTTCATTGGTTCGATAATAATTACCATTCATTGTTCGTGATAATCTCAGGATTTGAGATATTGGAATATGCGAATCCCTAGAAGGAATAGTATCAGAAATAGAAATAAATGGTCTATCACATCATGTGAGGATATTTATAGTATAGCCTACTGAATATGTAGTTCCAAAGTCTAAAAATAAAAAAAAATTACATTAACAGTATGCATGGAAAACATTCTTCAACAGCTTGAAATGTGTTATTACCTATTGCCACTGCCACGCGAATGTCAGAACTATCGAACATGTTTACTTTCAATTCCAAGTCAACTGTGTATCATGATGTCATTTATTAATACAGTATATGTATACATATCATGTGATATTAGGTAATGCGCTACCTAACAGACCAATCAAATTATTTGATTTTTATTGGGACTTTATATATCTTACTTCTTGTATTTAAGAGAATGTATATAATTTTATTAAGGGTTTTATATACTTGGAATTACAGTATATTTAAAAAAGAAAACATAATACAAAAAAAAAATTTTTTAATCAATATTCTTTTTATTGTAATTCTAGATTAAGATAATAAATTTTTTATATTTTAATAGTACAATAAATTTTAATAATTTTTTATATCAAAATTAATTTTTAAATTTAGTTTTATAACTATTAATTAAATTAAATTAAATTAAGTTTTTAAAATAAAATAAAAATAAATAAATAAATTTAAGTTTTTTAAACTAATTAAGTAAAGTTAATTTTTTAAATTGAATTAAATTATATCAAATAAATTAAAATTTTTTAATAAAAAAAAATATTTAAAGATCTATGGGTCAATAGTATAATGATAGTGCTCTCAGGTCACAATCATAAGGTCTATAGTTCAATACTACTTAAGAATCAAAAAATCAAAATTACCCTTCTGATCAGGTTTATTGGTTATCCTGTGAAAGTCATACTCAATTATCTGGATCCTGATCAAATTTAGTTAGCTTACATAAAGATGAGATCTTTGATCTTTCTGACAATTATGGGCTGAAATTAGGTCAAAGCAGAAAAGGTTGTATAAGAAAAAACTTCCAATTTAACTTCTATAAAAGTCTATAACCCCTCCTGGCATAATAGACCCCATAGCACAAACCACTCTTCTAGCTTAAAATATCTCAATCTGATGTTTCACTTAAATAAAAATCAGTTAAATGGGGCTGATCCAATACTACAGGTGGTAACAAAAAAGATAACATGTCTCCTTTCGAGGTCTAAATGAATAATAACTCTGGAAGTATTGGAAGATAAAACTAATTTCATCGGATATATACTTTTTTTTTTTTTTTATTAACCTGCAATTATGCCACAATTGCATGTTTTTATTAATATATTAA